CAGTGCCCGGTGCGATGGGGCCCCAATCTCAGTGACATTGTGTCTGGGCAGCACCTGGCCCGACTGGGCTCCAATCTCAGTGATTCTGTGTCTGGGCAGTGCCCGGTGCGATGGGGCCCCAATCTCAGTGACATTGTGTCTGGGCAGCACCTGGCCCGACTGGGCTCCAATCTCAGTGATTCTGTGTCTGGGCAGTGCCCGGTGCGATGGGGCCCCAATCTCAGTGACTCTGTGTCTGGGCAGCACCTGGCCCGACTGGGCTCCAATCTCAGTGATTCTGGATCTGGACAGGGCCCTGATGTCAGTCTCGCTCTTTGTCCCCCCTATAGATTCCTTATGAGGGTCCTGGATTCCTACGGGGATGACTATAGACAGAGCCAGCTCACCATTGTCCTAGAGGTAGGAGCCCCTCTCCCCGCTAGGGGGTCCTTCCCTGGAGTGGGGCAGATTCTGTTCTGGAGCTGTCAAGAGAAGCCGGCCCTTTACTGTGGCCCTCTTCGGCTCCAGAGAGCCCTGGGTGGGAGCCTGCTGAATGGCTCTGTCCCCCCTCCCCAGGATGAAGGCAGCCCCAGCACAGAAGCCCCCACCCCAGGCAATACTGAGAACGAACCTCCAGAGAAGGAGACCCCCCGGCGCTTCCCTGGCCCCCCACCGGCTGGCCCAGAGCCCAAGAGCCCATCCCAGGCGGAAACCCCCACTGGAAAAAAGCGTCGCCGGCACGGGCGTGAGGACAAGGAGCAGAGGGGCAGGCGGCTGGCCCCTGCCCTCCTCCCCATAGATGACTTCCCTGCACAGGTACCGGCCATTCCCCTTGCTCCTGGGGGGTAGCTACATGGGGCTGAAGTGGGTGGGGGGCAGAATACCAGGCTAGATGGGCCCATGGCTCGGGACAGTGCTGGGCTGGATGGGCCTGTGGGTCTGACCCCTTTCTCCCCCCTCCAGCTCAAAGAAGAGGACGAGTTCCCCTGCGACCAGGATGCTGTACTTACCTCCAGCTGGCCCCTGCCTCGGCCCAAGCTCCTCCCTTACCCCAAGTTCTCCAGCCCCGGGGCCTGCGCTGATTTTGACTGAACCCTCCTGAAACTGACCCGGCCCCTCGCTCCGGCCCTCAAAGGGTTAAACCAGGAGGGGTGCAGCCCTTCCCTGTGAACTAGAGGGTTAACCCCCTGTACACCAGTCTCCTGTGCTGCGGGACCGACAGCCAAGCAGGGACAGGGTGGGGAGCCCCCAGCCGGCTGGGAGAAGGTTTCCCAGGGTGGGTAAAACTCCTGCCGTAATCTTTCAGGTGTAAAAGCCCTGCGGAGCAAGGCAGGTCACGTAACAGGGAAATAAAGAGACGCTGGCCTGGGCCACAGTGAACAAAGACTGAGTGAACTCTGCTGTACCGAGTTAGAGCAGGGGGTGGGGATGCCTGGGTTCTGTCCCTGGGAGGGCAGTGGGGTCTAGTGGTTAGAAGGGGGGAGGAGGAGGGTCTAGGGCAGTGGTTTCTCCCCCTGGCTCTGGACAGGGAGTGGGGTCTGATCTTTTTGTCTGCTCTTTGCACAGCCCCATGGCTCCTGTGTTGATGGGACTGTCATTGCTACCCCCTAATTAGTAATAAATGGAGTCAGGACACCAGCTTTCTAGTCCCTGATTCTCTACTGGGCCCCCCGCCTGTGTCTCCCCCATAAGCCCCAGCAAAGCTTTAACAAACACTGCATGGTCTGTGGGTACGGGAGCAAGCGAGCACTGGGACTCTCCTGCACTGCCTCTGCCACTGCTTAGTGCCATTAAAAGGTGCATGCAAGCATGCATTTCCCCTGCTCGCCTGTAGAGGGCAGCAGCTGTGCATGCGTCAAGTCTCCCCCTCCAGCAGGGAGAGGGACACAACTGAGCCAGCAGGGGGCACCAGTGACACTAACAGAGGCAGCACAGCCCTGTCCCTCCAGCAGGGGGTGCCAGCAACACTAACCCAGCCAGCAGGGAGTGACACACACTCTGGTTCCTTAAGTCAAAACCTTTATTCCATTCATGGGGGGAGGTGGAGAGAGCCAAACCCCCCTGTAGCCAGCAGGGGGCAGCGCGCTGACCTGGTCCGGGGGAAGGCTCCCTCTGCAGCCAGCACATCACGGCGACCAACTCCCCAGGGCCCTGGGGGTGTCACAGCTTCTTCAGCCACTCCAGGTTGGGCCCCTCCTTGTCGCAGGGGTGGGAGGGGATGTCGGGCATGTTGCCGTCGTCTCGCACGGGCACTAGAGAGAGGCGGAGGCGGCTTAGGGGGAGGGATCCCTTGGGGGGGGGCGGGTAAAGGGGCTCCCCCAGGGGACAGTGCAGAGGTGAAGGGGTTAAAGCCACCCCTGCACTGAGTCAGTGGGGGCTCACCCCCTCCCTGAGGGGTCAGGGGCCCACTGCCATTAGCCCAGCTGCTACCCGCTGCCTAAGGTGCACCCTGAAGCTGCAGCGCCCCCTTGTGGCCATGAGGCTCAGCTGGGGGAACCAACCAGCCGAGACTTGATCTGACTGCCCTGGTGTGGGGAAGAGGGGCCCACAGTAGGGGACGCTGTGGTGCAGGGAGTGGGGTGGGGCACTCTCCCCTGGCAGTCAGTGCTATCCCCATTGCCCCAGGGCAGCGCTAGGGGGCTCAGCCAGGTGCATGCTCCCCACCCCCAAGTCAGTACTAGCCGGCACAGCACTAGGGGGTGCTGTGCTGCAGGGAGTGGGGAGGGTCAGCAGGGGGCGCTCTCCCCTGCAGTCAGGGCAGAGCCCATGCCCCAGTGCAGCGCCTGGC